TATATATATATATATATATATGTGTATATATATATATATATATATATATATATATATATATATATATATATATATATATATATATATACCTATATCCGATATATTTTACAAAAATATAATTATTTTTATTTATTTTGGACTTGTGGATCTGCTGAACCAATTGCATGTTCGTTTCTGCTATAACTGTTGTGTTCCAGGATGGGCTTCTCGAGTGTACTTCTCCGATAATGGATCTACATCAGTAGAAATTGCTCTCAAAATGGCATTTCGCAAGTTCTTGTCTGATAATAAAGTGCTCTTGGACCTTGTGAATGCTAATCCGGACGGAAGATTCATGGATCTCAAGGTACTAGCAACTCACGAAATACCTCTATTACTGCTATATTTCTCTTTGGATATGCATTTATTTATCCTCTGTTTTTACGAACTTCTGTGCTTGATGACATGAAGCAAATACTGGAACCACTATTTTCAACAATTTTCATTATCTTTATTTTGGAGTCAATTCTCGGGTTTATGTTTTCTTTGAATTAGGTTTTAGCATTGAAAGGATCTTACCATGGTGATACATTAGGTGCAATGGAAGCCCAGGCGCCTTCACCTTATACTGGCTTCCTCCAGCAACCCTGGTACGATGTTTCTAAATAGAACATGTACATGGTGTTCTCTTTATGGTTAATGATTCCCTTCTTGTTTGTAATAGCATTTTTCCGTCTTACTGTCATATTGTTTCCCCTAAATATTTCAGTCCATGAAACCTTAAATATTGCGAAGGCCTTACCTGACTGGTATTGGGGTGGGTGGGTAGGGTAGTATTCCCTTTTGGGGTCGGGTTGTAGGCCATTTATAAGGCCAATTTTTTTTATATTTAAAAAAATAAATAAAGAAAAGAATATATATATATATATAAAATCTGCAACGGTACTTCTCTATCTCATTTCTTTTAGTTTCTGCCCACGTATTCCCTTGGATCTGTAAGTTGACACCGAAAGACATTTCCTGATTATAACTTACTAACTCTTATTACATACAGTGTTCCACTTTCTCCTATTCAATGAGAATGTATTCTTCAAATTTCAAACTTTTAGACCAATTAATTAGAAATATGAAAATTGTCCGGATTTCATTGGCCAAAATTGTCTTCCACTTCTGAGTCCTTGATTGGCCAAAATTGTCCATGTAACAGAATGTGGCAGCTCCCTCTGTTTTTTGTTGCTTACGATTTACGAATGAGTAGAAGGTACAGAGATAGTATTGGGGTGGGGTAGGAACTATATCCCAATAAATTTAAGATTTTGTTTTGATCTACTGTCTTTTTGTTTTTTTAATAGTTAATGTTCTAATCTTTTCCTTGTTAAGTGATTTCTGTCATATTTTTCTTCTCGTGGTAGTCGATGTATAAGCAAACAGTTCCCTTGCATGTTTATATATTTTTAACCCACACATTGCCAATCATTTATAAATTACACTGTTATATTTTGTCGCTATATCTAGACTTTGTTGCTTCCATACGTGATTATGTTGTGATTGATTTGATGTTGTGTTTATTTAGTAAAACTTGCCCCTATATTATGGAGATATATTTCTATTCCAATTTTTATTGCAACATTATTTATTTTACAACATATAGATCCCCGTCAATGCGGGTTATGTTCCGTGATGAAGGAACAACTTTTAAAGATATCTGGTGGAATTGTTTGCCTTAATTGATCATGAAATTCTACAGGTATAGCGGAAGAGGTATCTTTCTAGATCCACCAACAGTTTCAATGTATGGTGGTGGTATTTGGGAAGTTTCTCTCCCTGAGAAGATGCAATCCGACAAATCTAATCATGAACGCCTGTGTAAGTGAAGTATTTGTCACTATATTACTTATTTTCTATCAGTTCTGTCTTATTATGTTTTTTCCTTCTAGCTAAATGTATGGACTTTTTTTATAGCTTTTTGTTCGCGTGATGAAGTTTTTAAGAGGAGCCGAGATGGCTCAGCTCTTGCAGACCTTTACACTTCCTTCATATTACAAGAGTTGCAGTTGCTTTCAGATACTAATGAAATTTCCCATGTTGGAGCATTGATTATCGAGCCAGGCAAGAAAGCCTTTCTAATTTTGTTATTTAATTTTTTATATCTTAGAGAGTATGATAAGGTTTTTTTACTTTTTCAATTTCTCTTTCAATCAATATCCTAGACTCAATAATATGGTTTCTCATGAAAACTACACAATGCGATTTGTATGAGATTTGGATCTATTATGTTGCTTAAGCTATAAGTTCTATATATAGAATAACCAGAGTTCTCCTGTCAGAGAGCAATATTTTATTTTTATTTTTATTTTAATAAGTTAGCATTTAGCTGATGTTGCAACGATTAATCCGACTGAGGAAAAATACTGTCTTTACTTGCAATGAATTACAGTAGTACAGGGTGCTGGTGGAATGCAATTGATTGATCCACTGTATCAGCGTATACTTGTTAGCGAATGCAAACGTCGAAAAATTCCTGTTATATTTGATGAGGTTTTTACAGGATTTAGGCGACTTGGTAGAGAGGTTAGTTAGTCACAATATTTTCAATTGCACTTATCATATTTCCCTTTCCTTCATCCAGTTAGATTAGTAATCATGACATTCCTTCTTCAGTCTGCAGCAGAAATGCTCCACTGTCAGCCGGATAATTCCTGTTTTTCAAAGCTGATGACAGGTGGCATCATACCATTGGCTGCTACATTGGCGTCAGATGCTGTTTTTGAAGCATTTACAGGAGAATCTAAGGTGATTGAATTGGTTTAATCAAAGTACATATACATGACCATGTAGGCTAAATTGGTTTATAAATCAGAATATCGGCACAATGAAAGAATTTGTGCCTTGTAAAGAACCATTTTAAGATACGAGCCGTTCAAATGCTAAACTGATATAATATCTTGTAATTTCAGCTTAAGGCTCTTTTGCATGGGCACTCGTATTCTGCCCACGCCATGGGATGCGCAGCTGCTGTTAAGTCCATCAAATGGTTTAAGGACTCCAAGACAAACATGAATATGATATCTGAATCAAGATTGCTTCAGGAGGTAAATATTTTTTGAAGCAACCTTATAATAATTATGCCTCGTTTTATGGATCGGTAAATTTGTTACGAGTAGTGGGAAAATAGCAGCTTCTATTTGATGGTACTTGGTTTCTGTATACTCATTGGCATATATATATATATATATATATATATATATATATATATATATATTTGTTGATCCAACAAGAGAGTTTTTCTTCTATTTATTGTTTTTTTTTTTCCCTCCCTTTTGGATCTAATATGATAGCATGGTTTATTTTGTGCTTTATTCTATAAGAATAAGAAATTGCACATTTCTGAATTTCAATTTCATCTAGTTTACACAGTATTCCAAATTCCTTGGTTGATCCCTAGTAAAAAAATATTACCACCTCTTGTCTTTGTAATTGTATTTCCATCATTATATTCATTATTAATGGTAACAGTAATTTTGTCTGCATTCACAGTCTCTCTATTCCAATTTCCATACTAAAAAATTATATCAAGAAAAAGTCAGTTATTGCTATTAAAGTTTGTAATCATTTTGTCACAATACCGCAATTTCATATTCTTCACGAGTTTCTTTTAACCACTATTTAAACTTGAAAACTTTAATTTTCATGATTTCCGGAGTTCTAGAAATTCATTTGGTATAGTAGCTACAGATTTGCACTATGGTCGAACTAACAGGACCTTTCTGATATATTGATAGACTATAGAAACAAGAGAAGTGCGTCTTATGTTCAAATCTTTAAATGATTAGTTTGCAATGGTACACTAAGATGCTTTATTCTCTATGCTAATGAAGAAAACGGAGGTTATTGCACGCCAATATATACGTCTGTAATATTAGCAATTATAGCACCTTGTACTAATGCTTAATTATTCCCAAATTTTAGCAATTATGAGTAATCTAATTTTTTTTTTTTTTTTTCGTTTCTGTTGTTTTGCAGTTGTGGAATGAAGAGATAGTTCTCCAGATTTCATTACTTCCGGCAGTCCATAGGGTGTTGGCTCTAGGAACTGTTTGTGCCATCGAACTTGTAGCCGAAGGCTCTAATGCTGGGTAATAATCTCTCAACTTTCACTACTCTGTTTCATAGTTCTTACCAAGTTTTCTCAAGTCGTTGCCTTTTCAAATGAGTTAGAAAAGGTTACTACTCGGTTGTTTCCTTGCAATTTTTTGACAAAGGAACTAGGTCTCGATAATTTCTAATGATCTTACATTGTATACTTCTTCATAGTTTCCTAGATTAATAACATGTTTGAAATGTAAGGGTTCCTAAATTTCTTTCGGTCGGTGCTACTAATTAACAAAAAAATCCAGTTTCTGGTTTCATATTTTCTCGTTTTTTTAATACCTTATTCTGCTACTATAAAGAGTCTTTAAAAGGATGTGCATTTTATTTTTCAGGTACGCTTCAACGTATGCAACTTCTCTCGTAGAGAAGCTTCGTGAAGATGGCATATATATGAGGCCATTGGGCAACGTCATTTATCTAATGTGCGGGCCCTGCACTTCTCCAGACATCTGCCGTGTCCTTCTGGAGAAAGTTTATGCAAGAATCCAAGAGTTTGGCCGACAAGATGTTTGATTCTGTTTACTTGAAATTCGGTACGTGAATGAATTAACAAAGCTCCTATTGTGATCTTAAACGGTCAGGTTTGAACCGAACTTCTCAACCTTCATTTTTTCTTCTTTTTATGTCATTGATAAGTTTCGGAAAATAGTCAGGTCTAGTTTCCCAACTTTTTTGGACATTAGATTGAATTCGAAACCGACTTCTATAAGCAACTCTAACTCATCTAAAAACTGTGTGTTTACATTGCAATAGAAGAGGGCTATGGGCAGAATATATATACCTTTATATATATTTATGTTCAATCCTCTTCTCTCTTTTTTTGACGAATGAGTCGGGCATAGAAATGACCACCGGTTCGGTTAGAACCGGAACCGAACCGGGGTCAACGGTTTTTAACCGAACCGGAAAAATCGGTTCGGTTCCGGTTCCCCATTTTTGTAACCGCCGGTTAGATCTGGTTTTCAAAAAAAAAAAAATAAAAAAACTTAAATATTAATTATAACTACAACTAATTATTTCATTTTCCATTTTTTAAGCCCTTTCAATTTCTTTACTTATCCTTTTTTAATTTTTAAAACTACAACTAATTTCTTCAATTTTTTTGAAGTACAAAAATATGTTTATAAGTATTTAAAAAAAACGTTTTTCTAGTATTCTTTCCATGTTTTTTTCTTCTAACTATTTTTTAACGTATTTTTTAAAGTTAAATATAATAATAATAATAAAAAAAAAATATATTATTAAGAACCGGCCGGTTCTACAGTTAGAACCGGGAACCGAACTGGAACCGAATCTGGAGCCGTTTGGAACAGAACCGTAAAGAACCAGAAATATTCGGTTCGGTTCGGTTCCGGTTCCTCCAAACCGGAACCGGAACCGGAACTGAACCCTGGTCATGTCTAGTCAAGCATGAGGTTTCTTCACTCCAAGTATATTTCTGAGTTCAAGAATTATTGAACATATTCGAACAGCACCTCACCTCCTTTTGGATTCTAGAGAACAAAGAAATCGTCGTCTTCAAATTAGATGTCACAAGTAGGTAGTTGAACTTATAAGTTATGTAGTACCGATGCAGGACGAAAGCGTGAAAATAAATTTATTTCTACAAATTAACTCTTTAGAAAAAAAAAAAGAACTCTAAATTAACCAGGAAATTGAAAAACTCTCAAATTTTTTTAATTAAATTCGAAAATTCTGCTTTACGAAAGACATAAACAAAGTGTTTATACTAATAAACTGAAAATCCTAATTAAACGAGGAAAATAACAAAGAGGAAAATAAAACAAAATGAGATAACTCCTAATTCTAATAGAATTCTTAATTATGAAGAGAACTCAATTGACAGATTTTCAATCCGATTTTTCGGATTGCCGAAGTGTGACCTTCATCATAAGCTACACTTAGTGAGTATTGATCGTTGTGCCATTTCGCTTGAGATGGACTTCATTTCAGACTCAAATAGTGACTCGGTACTATAGTATTATGATTACAGTTGAACCTCAATAAATTAACACAGTCGGTACTAGGGAAATTCTATTAATTTAGCGAATTATTAAATTATCGTGTTAATAATTTAAAAAAATTTCACCGCGTCGGGACCGAGCGAAATTATTATTTAATCGAGGTTATTAATTTATCTAGGTTCCACTGTAATTAGTCTTAATTCAACCCAGTGCACTTGGGTTGCTCCCAGTTTGGGCGATATATATATGCACTAGTTTTGCCAAAATTCTAGCATGATTTTAAAAAAATTCAAAACTCCAGAACTGAAAAGAATTTCTCATTTTGACAAAAAAAAAAAGAAAATTCTCATTCCATTCTTCGGAATAAAAAATGGGTTTTTACTTAAAAAAAATTGGAAACTTACGTCACGATTTCTCGATATGTTACTATTTTATATTAATATATTATATAAAATAGTATAGTAAAACTAAAAATTCAGTATTCGGTAGTTGTATTTAAAATCATTACACAAAAACAAAATATCCATATTTCTTAAAAATGGAATAGAAAAAAGTTGTAGATTGGTCAACTTGTCGGGACCGGGAGTAGTTATTGTATTTGTAATAAAGAAATCAAATGATAAGAACAAGAATATTAATTAATTAATTAAAATAAATAAAAAAAGGGGGTTTATTATATGCCGGCAACGTTGAATTCAGGGGCCCGCTACCGTTACCGTCACCGTTACCGTCACATTTCCCAGATCCAGTACACCCTGCCAAAATCACAGATGCCCAGAATTTAGAGAAAGCAGCAGAAAAAACAGTTACACACATAAAACACAGAAACGATTATGGCTGCTTCCTAATTACACATCTAGTCATCTTCTTTGTTACAACATCGTATTTCTTCACCACTGTCTGTATCTCGAGTCACCATCACCAATTCAGCGTCTTATCTCTCAGACTTGTTCACTACTTGACGCGCTCGTATTGTAATCTCAGCCCCACTCTCCGATTTCCTCTGCGTATGGGGTGATTATTTCACTAATCAATTAATTAATTAATTAATTAATTAATTATTATTATATGTGTGTGTAATTGGTGTATTTGTTTGTGGCGATGGGGTTTTTCTTTTTTTTTTTTTTTTTTCCTGGGATCTAGGGTTTTTTTAGGGTATATGGGGGGTACTGAGATCTGTTTGGTTCGTTTTATTGATTTTAGTGGACTTCGATTTTTGGTTTTTAATTTTTGAAAAATTGATTAAATTATTTGTTAATTGAAGTGTAAATGCAGACTAGGTATATGGAAAGAACAAACTCGATGAAAGGGAGAGGGAAAAGAAGCTTAGAAGAAGGTGCTGCTGATGAAGAACAACAAGAGCCAGAGAGGAAACGACCTGCTTTAGCTAGGTGACAAACAAGATTAATTATTTATTTCTCATCATTTTTTTTATTACAGTTTGTGTATCTTTTTCTTACTTATTTTGGGTTGAATTATTGCAATAAACCTGTTTTGATTTTGTCGAAAAGTGGAAATTGGAATTTATTTATTGGTATGTGACATGGCAATTCATGTACTAAATTCAATGATTGAAGTTTGAACGTTGCCCGTTGGTTCTCGATTGTTTCATTATCAGAAAGTATTATTAACCAAATTCTTGAACTAATTTCTCCTTGTGTATTACCCGCAGTATTGTTAGAATTTATTTTCTACTGCAGTGTTCGGTTATACGTAGCCTGTCTCACATTAAAATTATTAGGTTAAATTTTTTGATTCTTCATAGATATCTTTGAAACTGTAAACAAGGTTACAATAGATGTTCTTTTGGTTTAACTTTCCTTAACAATGTTTCTAGTGCGTCCTCCCAAGTTTTGTAGGTTTTCGTTAGATGAATATGGCTTGCTTCTTAACCTTTATTTACGACAAAAGTAAATAAATAAATAAAAACTCTCTGGTCAGTTCCACTACTCAGAAAGTGAAATAGGGCCTCTCGTAACGCATTTACAGTTTCGGATTTTAGATTTTTTAGTCAGCGTATATAACTTTTCGTTTTTCTCCCTCGAGTATAGAATTGTGAATTAAAATGTTGAGAAGAATAAGACATGATAGTTTGTTGTACTCTCTTATGCAATATCTCGAGTTTTTAATCCGTCTAGTAGATGTATATGGGGGCTACTAAGTTTAACTCAAGTGTGCAACTGTGCATCTGTTGATCATGAATTTCCTTTTTTAGATTTTCCGATTTATCTGTCTTCAATATTTTTTCAGTGTTAAACTTGAATACACATGGCAAGTAAATGAAAAAAAAAGACAGTAATCATTAAAAAATGTGTGTTTTTTGTGCAGCGTTATTGTGGAAGCTCTAAAGTTGGATAGTCTCCAAAAGCTCTGCTCATCGTTGGAACCAATTCTTCGCAGAGTGGTAAAGATTAACCTTTCCATTCCAATGTGATATTTTTGTGTGTGTATGTGTGTGTATGTGTGTGTGCTTTTTTATTTTTTGCCACTTGCCTAATCAGCACAAATCATCTTGAACAGGTTAGTGAAGAAGTCGAACGAGCTTTGGCTAAGTTGGGTCCTGCTATGCTGAACGGGAGGTAGGGTATTTCGTCTTCGTAAATTATGAAATGACAATTCAGATAGAAATTCTTTTAGAAAATGTCTGTTATTTCATCAACCAAAAAATATAAAGAACTGTACCTTACTCATGTTTTGAAAGTCCAGGTCATCACCTAAACGGATCGGAGGGCCAGACGGAAGAAACCTGCAGCTTCACTTCAAGTCGAGGCTTTCTCTTCCTCTGTTCACCGGTGGCAAAGTAGAGGGCGAACAAGGTGCCGCAATTCACGTTGTACTGATCGATGCCAACACGGGCCACGCGGTAACTTCCGGCCCGGAATCTTCCGTGAAGTTGGACATTGTTGTTCTAGAAGGTGACTTCAATAACGAAGATGACGAAGGGTGGAACCAAGAAGAGTTCGATAGCCATGTTGTGAAAGAGAGAGAGGGAAAGAGACCTCTTTTGACGGGGGATTTACAGGTGGCGCTCAAGGAAGGTGTTGGAACTGTCGGGGATCTTACGTTTACGGATAATTCGAGCTGGATAAGGAGCAGAAAGTTTCGACTTGGTTTGAAAGTTTCGTCGGGGTTCTGTGAAGGGGTACGCATTCGTGAGGCAAAGACTGAAGCTTTTACTGTCAAAGATCATCGTGGGGAATGTATGCATATACTTGCTAGTTTGTTTATTTATTTTTTATTTCATAAATAGGGTTTATGGAGAGGAAAAAAAATCGATAAATTGGATTTGTGGAGCGAATAAAAATAAATCGTCTATATGAAAAATTGAACTTTCTCTTGATATCATGCTAGAATAGAATAGCCAGGATAGATAGATAGAGAGATACAATATTGAATAAAATTCATTGTTTTTTAGAATAGAGGAGCTAAGAAATGCACATGATGAAGAGCAACGATAAATTAATAACCTCGCTTAAATAATAATTTTTCCCGGTCCCGACTCGGTGAAAACGTATTAAATTATTAGTTTGGTAATTTAATATTTCGCTAAATTACTAGAATTTTGCTAGTCCCAGCTCTATTAATTTATAGAGGTTTAACTGTATATGCTTTGATTGTTTATGTTATATGTGGTACTTCTGGAATCCCTTAAGGCCATAATAGTCTTTTCTCGTGTCGCTATATTTAGTGAAGTGTTTTTTTTTTTCTCCCCACAGTGTACAAGAAACATTATCCACCTGCTTTGAGCGACGAAGTATGGAGATTGGAGAAAATTGGGAAAGATGGATCATTCCACAGAAGGCTTAATAATGCCGGGATATTTACTGTAGAGGACTTTCTTCGCCTTGTGGTCAGGGACTCTCCGAAGTTGAGGAGTGTAAGTATTTTTAATTTGTGGGTTGTTTTATTATCATTTTTTTAATATATTTATTAATTTTTTTTTTTTGGTTTTGATCTTGTTTCGACAGATACTGGGCAGTGGTATGTCGAACAAGATGTGGGATGCACTGATAGAACATTCGAAGACCTGCGTTTTGAGTGGCAAGCTTTATATATATTACCAAGACGAAACGAGACATATAGGTGTTGCTTTTAATAATGTCTATGAGCTGAGTGGTCTCATCGCAAACGATCAATTCTATCCAGCAGACTCACTTTCAGACAGCCAAAAGGTTTGCCCGATTTTCTTGATATATATATATATATATATATATATATATATATATATATATATATATTATTCTTTTTTGCTTTAATTAAATGTAATCCTATAAAGACGAATATTTTTTAATAGTAAATAATATGTGAAAAATGTTATGTACCTGTCTGTAGGTATATGTGGATAAGTTGGTGAAAACAGCTTATGATAATTGGAACCAAGTTGTCGAGTACGACGGGAAATCACTTTTGAATTCCAAGCAAATCAAGAAGTCCCGAGAAGATATTCCTGTGGGCCCCACCATCAATTATCCGAATTCTTTAGATATTCAGATCCCGCACAGATTGTCCGTTTCAATTCCCTCCGAGCCGTCAATGGATCAAAGTGTTCTAAGTGGAGGTGAGAAAAATAATATATTTTTATGATTATTGTGTGTGTGTGTGTGTGTGTGTATTTTTACCTCATGATTTTTTTAATGGTATGAACTCAGATTCAGGAGGTTATACAGACAATATATCTGCAAGTTATCTCACACAGTCCCACTCCCAGTTCGACACAGTCTCGTTTACTCACCACGAAGTCAACCCACACAACCAATTCCAAAGTCAAACGTACAGCGAAAAAGTCAACCTCGCCCTGGCCCCACCTCAATCATCACCCCAATCATCATTCCAACACGGCAACTCTTCTTCATCCTCCGTTTCCTCTCTCCATCATCAATCCAATAATGTCAACCCGTTCTTGTCCGAGGAATGGCCCACAAATCGAGACGACAACAACAAGGGGGGAATCGATTTCTTGTCTGAAGAAGATATTCGTCTGAGAAGCCACGAAATACTCGAGAACGAAGACATGCAGCACTTGCTCCGCCTCTTCAGCATGGGGGGCAACGTCCCCCCTGTTGAGGATTCCTTTAGTTTCCCTTCTTCCTCGTCTTCTTACATGACTGCCCCTTCACCGGACTACAGGGGGGCCCGCTCAGGGAAGGCTGTTGTCGGGTGGCTCAAGATTAAAGCTGCTATGAGATGGGGAATTTTTATTAGGAAGAAAGCTGCTGAAAGGCGCGCCCAGATTGTCGAATTAGATGATGACTAGAATTTTTTTTTTCTTTCCCGAATCGGAAAAAAGAAAAACAAAATATTTTTCTGTATCGGAAATTGATGATTCTGTTGTAGTTTTTTTATTTTTTATTTCTTGTACAGTGAGTGGTTTTGCTTACGAACACTTGTTATTTACTTCGTTGTTATGTGATTCGATGACATTAGAAGTGCTTTGCGTTTGTAAAAGTAGTTCAAAAAGTTAGATTAGGAGACACTCGTTACATTTTTAACCGTGTTGAATTTGATACTTGATGTTTCAATGGTATTTGTTCTTTGTTTTACTTTTTTCTTTTCTTTTTTTGGATATGTGGATTCGATTATTTGGCGCATTACTATTTCGTTTTGCTTTCTTGTTCTAATCCAACTTGAATCACCGAGATTGGATATCGGTTGAGAAAAATATGCATGAATCAATGAGACTGGTTGCCCACAATTTTAATATTTTAAAATATCTAAAATTCAAAGTATAATTCACATATGCGTAACTTTGTCATCATGCATCCAATTTAGTTTGATGCATATTTTTCTCTCTAACTATCTATATTTTGTGATCATATTCAAAATAATCAGAAAAGATCCACTCATTGCATATGAACCGAACTCCTAAATTAAGCTAATCAAATATTCATAATAGGTAGGGGTGGCAATTTGGATCCGGTTCCACGGATCCGATTAGATCCGGTTCGGTCCATAAGGATTCAGTTTAGATTAAGTTTAGTTGAAACAAACCAGATCGGATCAAGTTGATTTTTTTTTAAAACTGGATCCATGTGGATCCACTTTAGATCCATTGAAAGTTTAACCACAAAATAAAGTGGGTCATATTGGATCCAACGAAAACCCAATCAAATACCAAAACAATTCTCACAGAAAAAGTCAAATATTATTTTAATTAAAAATTTAATTGATAAAAAATTATCAATGAGTATATTAATAAAAATTGTGTGTGTATGTGAGTGTGTGTGTGTGTGTAAAACAATGTGTGTGTAGAAACTGTGTGTGTATGCGAGTGTGTGTGTGCGTGTAAAACAGAGAGTGTGTGTGTAGAAATTGTGTGTATGTGAGTGTGTGTGTGTGTGTGTATATCAACATATATATATATATATATATATATATATATATATATACACATGTATCTGTGTGTGTGTAAACAGAGTCTGTGTGTGTGTGTGTGTATACGAGTGTGCGTCTCTGTATTTGAGTGTGTGTGTGTGTGTAAACAGAGTGTTTGTGTGTGTGTATACGAGGGTGTGTGTGTGTGTATGCGAGTGTGTGTGTGTGTCAACAGAGAGTGTGTGTGTGTGTGTGTGAGTGTATGTGTGTGTATATATAGACATGTATATAAATGTATACATATATATATATATATATATATATATATATATATATATATATATAAACAGATAGTGTGTATGTGCATGTAAGTGTGTGTGCGTGTGTGTAAAAAAGTGTGTGTGTGTAAAAAGTGTGTATATGTATGTGTATGTGTATGTGTATGTGTATATGTGTGTGTGTGTGTGAAAAGTGTGTGTGTGAATATGTGTAATTGTGAAACTTGAGATATTAAACCACATAAGTTGAGATATTAAACCCTAAAAGTTGAGATATTCAATCTCATAAGTTGAATTAAAGATGCAATGAATCCATGTGGATCCAATCCGGATCGGTCTAAACTCGATCCACATTAAATCCATTCATGTAGGTTGATATTGGATCCGGTTCCTTTTGCATCCGATCCACATGGATCCGGATCGGATCCGGTCCAAGTTGAGAAATTGCCACACCTAATAATAGGCGAAGCTAGCAAGAGGGCGTTGTGTTATTTGACTTAAGTTCAGATTTCTTTGTCAATGCTTTATAGATCGAACTCGTCACACATGGTTAATCTAGTATAGTTTACATCTCTTGTTTGATTTATATATGCTAAAGTTTATCAATTCAATTTTATACTTGCTAAGTGCCTGACTAGTCTTTTAATCATGTTGTGACATGTTTAAATATATTGGAAGTATGGAAAAAAATTTGGAAGTCAAGTATAAGAGACATCAATCTCTTATACTTATGCAAACCAAAAAAAAAGTCGAAGCAAAACAATGAGGTGGTGTTTGCAAATGCTTTTTGAAAGTGATTATGCAGTTTTTTTTTGCTCATAATCTGTTTTTAGGTGTTTGCAAAATCAACTTTTGCTTTTACTTAGAAATTGCTTTTCCCCGGCAACGGCGCCAAAAACTTGTTGGGTGCTAAATACCAACACGCAAGTGTACGTATCGCAAACAAGTAGTAAAGTAGACTCGTGAGAGTCGGATGTCGATCCCACAGGGAATACGCAAATTATTTAATCCTAAGTACCAAATTTTAACAATTACGATTTTTATCCAGCCTACGCAAGTTTGTCAAATTAATTAACTAAATAAATTAAACTAATTAAGAAAGCAATTAAACACGAGAAAATATCAATATAAAACGGATCTAGGATTTTATCTTCCCCCTATGCGATAATTCTTCACCCAATTAATCTCCTATCATGCAAGTTACGATTCCCGATTATTAACCCAAGACACGAAATTATTCATAACCAGCTGTCGCTGCGCTATAAACCTATTATTCATAAAAGATTCACTATATGTCTATGCAAACCTAGTATAAATAAAGCATTAAATAACAAGTCTCGACAACGGCTACCTAAGGTATTATCTGTATGTCTACGATAATACATGCAATCAACACACGCATTCGGTGAAAAACTACTCGAAGGCTCTTCTATCTCTGTTCTAATTATTAAAACGATCTGTCAATCAATTCTAACAATAACAAATAGCAACATAAGTTAGCTACGCTCATGCACTAAATAAGATCAAGATAGAAGAAATAATCGAAGAATTAAACTTGCATAAAAGTCGAAAAAGAGGTTCGAATCACCACATAGGGTTCCAATAAAATCCTAGAATAAAAACTTAGCTACTCATGTTCGTAACGAAAAGCATAATAAAAATACGAAAATTCATAAAAATCAGAAAAGAAAAGGAAAAAGGAAAACTAGGATGAAGAGTCGTCAAGTCTTCGTCTTCGTTCTCTTGCTCCTTGATTGCGTGTCGAAAGATGAAAGCTAAAAACTAAAAATAAAGATAGATGGATAAAAGATCGATCTAATTGTGTGCTTGTGGCCTTTAAATAGGGTGCAAAAATATAATAGGGCGGGTTTCCTTGTGTAATTAAAATTCCTTCACTGCGCCCCTACGACCATCCGGACGGCCGTGTGAGATTTTGAACTAAAATCCGCACGGCCGTGCGGTCTTTAATTCTCCAGATTTCTGATTTTTTCACTTTTGGCTCACTTTTTCTCTGAATTTGCAGTTTTCACCCCAAAAGTTGCCAATTCTTCAATTTGCACCTAAAATACAAATAATAACCAAATTAAGCACCAATTATCGTAAAAACACATCAAAAGCTCCAATTAAAAGATAGAATTAAGTGTATAAATATACACTTAACACACCCCCAAACTTGAACTTTTGCTTGTCCTCAAGTAAAATCAAATTAATAGCTCAAAACAAAACCATACATCTCATAACATAGATCGATGGGTCAAACTCGCGTTTTCAGAACTGCAA